CCAAAGTAACGGTAGTCAGGAGCAGCTCGCGGTCTCATCAAAGGAGGCCACCATGATAGAATCACTCCATACGGCGAGTAGCACAACCCCGCCCTTTAGGATCTGAAGGTCAACGAAGCTTTATGGGAACGTGTTGAGGTACTGAGAAAACGAGACGGAGGATGCGTATTGGGGCAGTGTCTTGGTCAAGAAGCTAGGGGAAGCGGACTGGCTCAGCCGGCGAGCAAGTGGCTTATCTCAAGTGAACCAGCTTGCAAGAGTATGAATGTTTCCTGAGAAAGTAAAGCTCGGCAATGAGAAAGTTAAAAATAGGGAATCAATTATCCAAGGTTGATGTAGCTATGGAAGTCTGGAAAAGGCTAGGCAAAGCAGTCGCATACCCTGCACAGAGGTGAAGGCACGCGGGAAGTATTTGAGTGAAGGACTCTACGTTCACGTGATGTCGCGTTTGCATCAGCGCGCCATCGCTTCCCTTCTTTGGACAACCTCAACACCACCTTTTTCTTGACTACAACCCATCATTCTCGCGCAATACCATTGTCACCAGCATTTTCCCTCCACATTCCTTTACACGAGCTCGCGCCCTCCGCCCCCGCTGCGCCCGATACGCGTTTCGAGTATAAGAACAAGCCTGCCATCCTTGCGAACTTCACAAGGCTCCTGACGGTAAAGGTGGGCGACTTTGACCCGAGTCAAGAGACGCTTATCGGCTGCCGTCAGCAGGGTAGGCTCCGGGTCGAGGACTTCGAGCGCGTACCCGGTGTGAGCGGCGGTCGTGGTGAACCTCACGCAAGAGTCAGGGCTGCTCCGAAGCCCGGGTGGGCGGGTTCCCTTGCGCACTGCTGACAGTTCTTTGACTGTAGTTGCACGAAGGGGGATTTGGTAAGTTTGTTCATTGCTTTGCTGAGGTAGCTGAGGAGATACTCAATCTGTAACGTTATGCGTGTACTGTTCGGGTGACAACAGTGTCATAGAATCTAGGGGAGTCTATATCTTATTGTCGAGATGGAAATACCGCAGTGCTACATCTGGTTAAAGCTAAAGTCATTCCTGTACCCTCCAATAACAGCCATCGACCCATCTTCAGTCCTCACGTCTCTGATCCGCTGGTTTATCTTCCCAATGACGCTCTCAGGCAACCCGACAAGGGCCCTCGAATCTCTCAGGGTTATAATATTACTGATGTCTTGACCGCTCCGTCTCGACCGTGCCTGCGAGAATACCACTCCACAAGAGACTTGATCGGCTTCGAGAAGTCGCGACTGCTCTTTGATCTCTCCAATAGCTAGCATTCGCTGTGCATCGCCGTCTTCCTCGTCATCTGACTCTCCTTCTAGATCTCGCTGACGCTGGCGTGCTTCTTCTTGCTGACGCTTGGTAAGATCGATGTGCTCCTGTATCTTCATCTCAAGAGCATACAGCTGTCTCTTCACGTGCTCTCGATCAGAGTCAGTTGCTTTCTCGGATCTCAGCTGGACGATGCTACTTAGGTCAGCATACCTTTTGGTCATTAAAGTGGAGACGCTCACAGCTGGGTACACGTGACAGCAAATTCTGCAGTAGCCTGGCACGAGAGTAGATGCGTTCTGAGGGTACGGATCTTTTCTTTATTCCACACACCAACCGACAGTCGGTCTCTCAATGAGAGCTTGGTAGGGCTGGAATGCTTAGTCCACTTCGCGAGATTCTTGCTGAACTTGTTGCAGGCATCGCCACAGTTGTTGATTGCTTCTGCCAGCCCAGTCTTCCTCAAGTCCTCTCTGATGGCAATGTTCGTGGCTTCGTCTGCGATGCTGAGCTGTCCGAGTGCGGCTAGCGGGCGCTCAATGCTGGTCAAGCTCGAAGCGATGTCAGTCACCACGTCTTGAGCCTCGGAGAGGCTATCAATGAGACTGTGAAGCTGCACGATGCTGGTAGTAGCAAATCCTGTTATGCCAATCGCACCGGCCGTAATGCTGAAGGGATCCATGGGGCTCATGTTAACAGGGCTCGACCCTTTCTTCTCCTGACTACAATAGAGCTAGTTAAGATAGGCTGCTTTGAGCGCGATATACACAGATATGCCTCTTCCTTTCGAGCCCTCGACAATGTCATGTCACTGGTGCAGTGCCTACACATGGAGATTGTACCAACGAGGCGCAGCAAAGAGGTCATGCATCCTACTATGTAAGCGATCAGACAAATATCTTAACGCTATTCGTCAACTGCGCATGGCGCAGCATGAGTGGTGTGGGGGCGAAGACGAACATCGAAGTTCAGCCTGGTTCAAACCACGCCCATCCATCCATCATAATTTCCTGTTCACACATGACTTAACGATTTGTTTTGTAGCCCTCTCAAGGCGCATACTGCGTGGAGCACAAACCGCAAGCCTTGACCCAGCCATCAGGTGTACCCCAGATGTCTGGAAGCGCAGTGCCCCACCAGCAGCACATCAACGGCGTCTCCACACAGAACCACTCACAAGCCTTCGTGGGTTCCGCGCGAGACGTCTATTTTACTGCACCACACAAACTTCAAGGTACTGACTGAGATGTCATCTCATGACGTTCGCTGCTAATGCGGTCGCTCGACAGACGCGTCCAAGGAAGCGGCGCTAGCGTGTCGCAATGCGCTTTTCCTCACCGACCCTGAAGAGATCCGAGAGAAGGTGATCAGCGCAAAAGGTGCCAGAGTGGAAGGTACCTGCGAGTGGGTCACACACGATGCGAAATACCTAGCCTGGTTGAACAGCGACCGTGAAGTCGTCGAAAATGAGAACACGCGTTTGCTGTGGATTTCAGGCGGGCCTGGCAAGGGCAAGACGATGCTGTCTGTCTTTCTGACGGAGGAGTTGCAGAGACAAACTGCGTTAAAAGACACTGCCGATTTGGTGTTCTTCTTCTGCAGCGCGGACGACAAGAATCGCAACACAGCTGTGGCAGTGCTACGCGGACTGGTGCACCAGATCATCACCAAGCAACCGCAAGTGTCAAAACACGCGCTGCCATACTTTGAGACGCCAGAGAGGACAAAACAGACATTGTTGTCGTTTGAGACCCTGTGGATTATCTTCCAAAAGATCGTCACAGATGCCGAGCTCAGAGAATTCTTCTGTGTGATTGACGGTCTTGACGAATGCGAAGGCAGCACTCTACGAATATTCCTCCCAAGAATTACGAGCCTGCTTACTAGTATAACGCCGCAGTCGACCAGAAGTTCCTTTAGGCTGATGATAGTCAGTCGGGAAATGGTTGGACTGCACAGATGCACCCGAATAAGACTAGACCCTGACAACGACGACAATGTAAACACTGATATCGGGCGATTCGTATCTATCAGGGTCGCCGAGCTTTCAACAATCGATGGCTTCAACGCAGACTTTCGAGCGGCTGTACAGTCGGCTCTTCTTCAACGCGCCGAGGGAACGTTCCTGTGGGTAGGCTTCGCGATGCATGAGCTGATGCAGAAGCAGACGTGCAGTGAGATCTGGAAAGCGCTTCAAGAGCTACCAAGTGGCCTTCCAGCGATTTACAGCCGTATGTTGTCTCGAATCCCAATCGAACAGAGGCGAATAAGCCGCACAATCTTGCAATGGGTCACAATGGCCTTTGAGGATCTACACCTAGACCAGGTGGCAGTAGTAGCACAGATCAAGCCTGCGTCGCCTCACATAACGATGGAGCAAGCAGCTCGCGACGCTGTTGCTCTGTGCGGACCGATGCTGAAGGTTGTATGGTCGTCGAAAAACGGTCCATTTAATTCATCAGTCAGTGCGAGACTATCTATTTCGCAAAGATCGTGATAGCGATCCAGGGCTGGAACTATTTCGATTTGAAGAGGAAAGCTCACACCTCCAAATGGCGCAGACTTGTTTTCATCATGTAGGGCGAAGTGATTTGCAGCATCGGATCATTAATTTCAGTGCTGAGAGCTCTAAGGACCTTCCTTTGTTGCCATACGCAACGGAATATTGGCCTGACCACCTTCAAAATACTAGTCCTGTACTTGCTGCAGGTTTCATTGCTTCCTCCAATTTCTTCGTACAGAGAAAATGCTCTCTACGAGAAAACTGGTGGGTGGCTTATAAAGTATTGCGGTCCTGGAGGATCTTTCATGGTTCTCTGCTTCCAGTCTTGCATATGGCGTGTGATTTGGAAATTATACCATGGGTGGAAATGGTACTTGCAAAGAAGAGTGGGACACCTCTGAGATGTCGTTTGAAAATTCGAGAGGATGTGGACCGAGGGACGGCACTGCACATCGCAGTTTTCAGGCGCAATACTACGTTGGTGCGGTTGCTATTAGACAGAGGAGCAGATGTTGACGCGAAAGGAGCCTATGAGATGACGCCCTTGCTCTGTGCATCTGAGGACGCAGATCTGACGATGCTGCTGCTGCTCCTAGACAGAGGCGCGGGCATTCACGCGATAGATGACTTAAGGAGAACAGCGCTACACTTAGCGGCTACGAATGCCAACGAGGCGGTAATACACGCACTACTAGATAGAGGAGCGGACATTCGCGCGGTAGATTACATGAGAAGAACAGCGCTACATTTAGCAGCTGCAACTAGCTCAAAGGCTGCATTACATGTGTTAATAGATAGAGGAGCGGAAATAGACGCAAAGGACTCCACAGGAAAGACAGTGCTACACCTAGCAGCTGAGGGGGGCGAAACGGCGGTAGTGCAGCTGCTGTTGGATAGAGAGGCGGACATCAATGCGAAAGACCATGATGGGAGGACAGCGCTCGATTGGGCCGCTATACTTAAAGAAGAGGCGGTAGCGCAGCTGCTTGCAACGTAGCTGCTTACAAGATGGCGGCGGTAGAGAGCTGGAAGACATCTACCGTGTGGTGAACATGCCATGGTGCCTTTACATTGACAACACCTGGTTAGGATAGATTCGTTACCTTTGATCAAACGTTGGCCACGGCGGCGCATGAGTATTTACATATGTACGTATTTCAGCAGTCTTCTCATATCTAGCATAGAACACATTGCAATACCATCAAACAACGGGCACATGGTCCAGTGGTCTAAGACGCTCGCAGAGAGGCGTGAGGATCGGCGGGCTGGATGTAGTCTATGGACCCCACTCATCGCTGGTTGTCGTAAGACAGCCGCTTTCGAAGCGAGAAACGTCCGTTCGAATCGGACTGAGTCCATCTCTTTTTGCTTCGTTTGTTTGTTGGAGGGCAGAGCTGAGGGTGGGAAGTAAGCGCGACAAAGGGTGGAAGAAAGTCGAAAGCTACCTTGATCGTGCTCTGGTGACTGTTGAATGCCGGGTGAGGCGCAAGGGGAATTCCATTGGTGATGCCACATACATGTTATCCTAGGCTCGTGAAGTGGATATGCTCTCGATTGGTTGGAATTGTGGCCATCATTCATAAAGTAAACACCCCAAATCTGAACTCAAACGCCACCCTTCATTGCTTTCTGGGGTCAAGATAAGCACGTCCTGGGGTAGAAGCAGAGAGCAGCTTTCGAAACCGATCGTTCACACTATAAATGCTCACAGCTGTGCACTCTCGAAACCCTTCCAGCCCATCACATCCAATGCCCTCTTTTTTCTCCACGAACTGATTTTGACCATACCTGCTTCGTGGGACAGACGAACGCTTGAAGGCATTATTGCACCGTCATCACACAACTGCATTGCCAGGAACTCCAGGGAGAAACATGGTACACGCTCCAAAAGTTCCCGCTCAACCGGACTCCTGTCTCACTTATCAGCACTGGAAAACCCCAGGAGATCGTACGGGACACGACGCACATTCTTTGATAGAGGATCTCCATATCTGCTTCTTGTTTGAGTCTCTGCCCTTCAAAGTACTGATCTGCTTGAAGCTCCGATTCGAGAAATGAGTTGTCCCATTCCTCTTGAAATACCCTTTTCAGCGTCATGATCAGCTCTTGAGACGAGGCTCTCCGGATGTTGTGCATGGTATACATGAAGGTTTTTGGGTCCTCCTTGACTCTTACGATGAAAATATCACCGTAATAGAAACGTCTCGAGATATCGACGTGATCAATTCCTAGTATCTGCTTGATGTATCTGTTTTCCGAAAGGTCGGTGTTGCAATTTCGGTAGATCCAGTACGTCCCTTCAATTTCTTTGATGGGTTGATTTGCGATGGAAACTTCCCTGAATTTACGGTCGACGTGGTAGGATGCCCAGAATTCGCGGAAATCAGGCACGAGACAGGAGCCGAACTCTGGTATCTTATGTTTAGACTCCGGAGGCTGACTGTGGAAGGCAATCGGTTCTACTTTTGGCTCGGTTCCGTCTGCTGGTACTCGAAGTACTTGGATCATCTTCACTTTCACACCAAAGGTATATTCCTCCTCGTCTTGCCTTTCCATCAGGTTATGTGAGTCTGCGCTTCGTCCGCGGGCAAGATGCTGACTCTTGAGTTTCGATGGAAACGTGCCAGATGATACGACACTATTGCACATGCCAGCAGATGATTCTGCTACCGCTGGCTGCAGTGGTATTGTATCAGTGGAAAGCATATTGTCAACGCTGCGGTAGGTTTGCACCAGCGCCGAAGTAACAGAAAAGCCAAAGCTGGACTCTGCGGCAGCCGGAATGGGTGGGAATGTCCACAGTGGATATACCTTCCCGTGAGACATTCGAGTACGAAAGGTTGCCATTATTGGACCGCTTAGAGAAGGTCTGATATAGTTGCGGAGCAACTCGTTGCATGAGTAACACGGTTTCTTGCTGGCTCCAATATAACGATGTACGCTTTGTCGCCACTCCGAATTGGATTCCAATCCTACCAGGACCTGTATCTCCGCGTGTACGTGCAGCTGACGCGGCGGAGGATTCCAGCCTTTTTTGGGCTCTTTAAGGCCCTTTGATTTTGCTAAGCTTTTCAAATGCTTACAAAACCTGTTTGTTTCGATGCCGACGCTTTGAGGAGGCTCTAATGGCTTCAATTTGATGGACGCGACCCCGGGAAAGCTGAGTGCAATAGTCTTGAAGTATTCGTACGCAGCACGGAGTCTACCAAGCATCAAAGTGTTCTTGTAGATCTTGACAAGAGATGGCGTGTTGTATTGACGCCAGTCGAAGCTACGCAATTCAAAGGCTAACTCAACCACTTCCTCGAGAGTAGAGTCGCTCGGGTTACCCTCGTAAGTGCCGCAAAGGCGGAGCAGGCGCTGAATCTGGCCTTTCGGTGACTCGTCAGCATCCAGCTTCAACTCATTGATCTGGAACACATAGGACCGCAACCTGCAACGGGAATACTCAACGAGCCCTTCTTGACCCTCTTGGCCATTCCAAAAACGGCATGATGCTTTTGGAGGAGTTCTCCCCGTCCCTGAGATCGTACGAAGCCATAGCTGCAGCCTGTTCAAGATTTTGCGATCGCGTTCATCAAGACCTTCGTTCTTCGCTACCAATACTAAGGGAATACCGGAGCTGGAATCGATCCAAGCCGCTGATGCTACATGTTTCGGACTTGAGATGGAGGCCTTTTCGCGTGCGAACAGCTCGGATAATCGATCTAGAAATCTGTCCTTGAGGGCATTGCTGTTTGCTCGGTGAAGCTTTTCACAAGCCATCGTCGTTTGACCTTCATCGTCGGAGACTTCTTCATCCGAGTCATCGTCTTCGCCATCAGAAAGAACAGAAGTAGGCCTGCGAACAGACCGCCCCTTCGTGTGGGTAGCAAGCAGTGCTGCTGCAGCGGCGAACTTTTGCTCCTCGACATCCGCAAGCTGCCATATGTCAGTCGTCATTGAAGATGGTCGTATCGAAATTGGAAATTCGAAGATTGATGGCTGACGACGGTTGTTGAGGTTGGATCCGGCAGAGGTATGACGCAGACTATGGGTGTGCAGAGCAAGAGTCTCCAATGTGCGCCAAAAGGCTCAGGATGATAGGTGTCACACGGGATCGCTAAGAAGCAGAGTGTACAAAAGGGTCTAGGATCTCAAAACGGATGACTTGTATGCTGTTGTCGTTTAGAGAAGAACCGTTCATCAGATATATCAATCTCCCAAGGTAGGTTGCCAGGTGGATGTCAGATTGCGACACGACGCACAGCCGCGCGCGAGAAACTTCGCGTGGCTAAACATAGAGACACGGGCATGATACTGCTTGCGAGGATATACACCAGCGGCAATCAATAAGAGTAAATATTATTTCCGGTGTTGGCCACTTGCTGGCCGTTTTCCTCCTGCTTAAGCGCCCTGCAGGGCGCTTACAACATGTTGGTAGAGGATGTTGGTCATGATCATCCTCTATCTTTGATTTTAACAGCAAGTGTGAGAGTTAGTCTCGGAGAGCTTCAGTCAAGGATCCACTTGTCTTCTCGCATTCTGCGAAGTATTCGTTGGATCTGGCAATGTGCAGTAGAAACTTATCAGATGACCATGCGTTCTTTCTTGTAACGATGTGACTTACACACCAGAGGTTGCGCTATTCCAATCCTTTATTCAAACGCTACCCCTCCAGTGACGCTTCTTATGCGCCGGCTTAAGACTTCGGCGTGTAATCTTGCCAACATCCTCCTCATCACCCTCAGAAACAAAGAACGGATCCGCGCCCATACCATTCGAAGCGTTGTACGCCGATCTATCCGTCGTACCCTTGAGCACCTCATAACGCACGTAATCCCCACATCCGCTAGGAGTATTCAAACACTCCTTCCCAAGCGCACCCGCAATGCGCATTCCTGCCTCTTGACCCTCAAACCACGCTCCGTGCAGGTAGCCATAGTACTCAGCAGATCCTGCCTCGCCAGCAAAGTACAGCCTGTCCACGTTGGCACGTAGGTTCTGATGCATTTCCAGTGTGGTGCCCGCAGGCCAGAACGAGTAGCTGCCGTAGGTCCAGGGGTTCTGGGCCCAGCGTGGGTACATGAAATCGATGGGCTCGGGAACGTCGATGTCAGGGAACATGTTGCGCAGGACCTCCATGATCTCTGCTTTTGTCGTCTCATCGTCCTGGGCTTCGATGCGGTGGCTTTGTTCACCTACGACGGTGGCGAAGAGAATGTTGCTGCCCGGGAGGAAGCCATCGAGTGAGAGTGATTGGAATTGCGGGTAGTAGCCGCGGGTGGTGAGGTCCGCGTATAAGAAGTATTCCTTATCCGCAGGCCAGAATGTCTCGTTGAACTGCATGAAGATCTTGGTGTAGGTGCCCATGCCAAAGGTCTCGATGGAGGTCTTCTTCCATTCAGGGAGCGCCGGACTGAACTCAACCACCTCTTCCTGTAGCACACCAAGCGCGAATGTGCAGATGGCGTACTCGGCTTCCACACAAGATCCGTCCTCATTGGTGACTTTGACGCCAGTGTCTGAGTACTGGACGGCCTTGACAGTGGTATTGAAGCGGACGCGGGGGTCGTTCGGTTGTAGGAACTTCGCCGCCTCGTGCTTGAGCCATGTGTTGTAACCGCGCTGGTCAACGCTCATGAAGTCTTCATCCTTGAACTGATAATATGTCAGGTTGGACGCGGTGGTGCTGAAGACTCCGCTAATCTCTTCTGGTCTGGCTGCGGCATCCCAGTCGATAATCCACCACTCGATCGTCTGGCGCTTGGCGTCCCGCTTGTTCTTCCAGCCACTTAAGGAGTTGAGTGCGCGTTGGCTGACATCTTGCTTGTTATCCGCCAAGATGGTTCCTGCGAGCTGTTCGGCAATAGTTGACTTCTCGTCCCACTCGTCGAAGAGCTCGACATAGTCAGAAGCACCAGTTTCATCGTAAGTCACAATATTGCTCAGGTTCGAGTAATGGCTTGTAAGATTCGACTGCTTTGCGAACGTCCATACTGGATTCTCGGGGCCATCGGGCGTGCCTGTTCCCGATATCCAATTGGCGCCGAGCTCAACAAGGTAGGGGTTTCCAGCAGCATCGGAGCCGAAATTGGCATGTCGCATACGGCCACCGATTTGCTCGTTGTATTCTAAAATGAGGAAGTCTGTGACAGACTGGTTGGCAAGTGCTTGCTATGATTTATCAGACCCATGACGCCAGCTTCATCGGATAAACGCTTACAGCTGCTGTAACACCTGCTACGCCGCCGCCTCTGTCAAATCGTCAGCAAGGCATAATACACTTTCAATTTGCACATACAGAATCGCAACAGTGGTCTTTCGACAAGTACTATTGCTATACGGTTTGCTATCGACGGGATACGAAGCATAGACG